TGCCCCTGTGGGTCCGCCACCTGCAACGCCCCCTACCCCCAGCGGCAATCGCTGCCCTGCTGGGATCTGAGGCAGGTGACCCGTCTGTGGCGCCCTACGGGAGCACCTTCATCCGAACTGCTTTTGGGAATCGCACCTCTGCGTGAAGACTAGCTGTTGTGCGGTGTGCATGTGGTTAAGCCGGATTTGGGAATCGGACCTCTGTGCGTGAAGACTGGCTCGGTGCCATTGTGCGGTGTGCACGTGGTTAAGCCGGATCTGACTCAGCGACCTAGTGAGCCACAGAACCAACACGGCCTGATCCCACACCACCCTCAGAACTGTTACACAGCCACGGGGTCCCTCCATCCAGGTCCATCGAGGGTCTTCCTCTTGCGCTGACCCCCCATGTCCCCTGTGTCCTTAAGGCAAGCTGGCCTTTCACTGGGTTCCAGGCTGGCCTGGGGGAGCACAGCAGGGGTCATATGGGATGGGGCTGGGGGGTGCTCGGGTTCCCAACCTCTGGAGGAACTCTTGTATATACTGAACTTTGTATTTAAAGTTTTTATATATGTTCTGGGTGTGTGTGTGCCTCTCCTTCAGCGCTTTGGTTTTGGGTGTCTTTGACCAGGGGCGTGAATTCCTTATTTTGTATTTTTGCGTAGTAAATCCCAACAAACACCACTTTTGTGTGGGTCTCCTGCAAATGACCGGTGACTTCGCACAGGGACTGCCCACTGACTACAACCTGAGGTGCTGGAAGAGTCTGCGCTGGCTCTGAAAGTTCCAGTGACTAGCAGCACCCAGTCGTTTTTATTCCAGCTACCTTAAATATTCCCCCTTAAGACACCTTGGGAGGTGGCACCAAGGCTTACAAATTGGAGGGCAGGTCAAAAAGCAATGGTCCTAGGGTTCTACTTCATCTGTGCCTAGGTCCGGGCCAAAGGCGTCTAAACACACCTCAGTGAGCAGTACATGCCTGGAAGCCTGCTTTCTCAGTAATTCCCTCATCCCCGTCACCTCAGGGTACCTTCTAAAGAACTCACTGCTCTTAAACAGTGGCACCTGAGGGGATCTGCTGGCTCCGTTCAAGGCCGAGATCAGCTCAGATTGTTTTTTGGGTTTTTGACACAGGTGTCATTCCATAGGGACAAGGAAGAAATCTAAAACCAGGAAGTCTCCCCTGGGTTTCCATTCAGGAACGAAGTCAATGACAGCTGCTCAGCAAGATAGGTGATTGAAGAGGAGTGAGTTCCCCGTCAGCGGAGGCATTCAAAGCAAACCTGGATGGTGATCTGCCTGGGGAGGCAGCAGAGAGCCTTCCTTCTAGCCAATGTCCCCTGCAGGGCAGGGAGGTTGTATTAAATCACTGGTTCCAAGCGTGTATCCTCCGTGGGCCACTTGATGGGAGGAGAGTCAGGTTTGAGGCTTCAGGTGGGGGGCTGTGACCATTAACACACTGCTTCCTCGCTAAGGAAATGGGTGTGACTTTGAAGCCGTGACTTCATGTCTATGGGCCTAAATGACCGATGAGTCTGTGATGATTCAAACCATGCAAAGGGCAGGGTTGTTTTTTTTGTTTTTTTTTTTTGGGGGGGTGTCTTACCTGAAACCTGCAAAATGCAAAGGATTGTGTACATAGACATCTTTTATCTCCCCCCAAACTTCATGTACTAGGAGCTAATCCAGACATCACACCACTCCATAGTTCACGCATAGCAAGCAGTGTTGTATAATCACTACCTCCATCAACGTCAAAAGACACTATTCTCTGTATGTGTTTCTGTCGTTAGCTGCCCAGCGTCCTGCCACCTGGCAACCCGACGCCCAACAGAATCAAACACTGCCAGTCCTGTGCCAACCTCACAATTGCTCACGTGCTCGAGCCAACTGTTGCTGCCACTGTGTCAATCCATTTCCCGGAGGGCCTTCCTCATTTTCCAGCCCGCTACCAAGCACGATGTCCCTCTACCGGGACTGGTTTCTCCTGACAACCCGTCCCAAGTATGTGAGTCTTGCCTGCCGTCCCTGACTCTGAGAGCACTCCGGTCGCACTTCTCCTGAGACAGATGTTTGTCCTTCTGACAGGCCATGCTACTTTCCATATTTCTAGTTCTTCCTAAATACTATAAACAGCCCGTCTTTTGGTCCTTTGAGTCCAGCCACCGCCATGGTGCCAGGCCAAGGGGAGGAACTGGAGTGGCCCGCCCTGTTGCTGGGGACAAAGGGTACCACTTGCCCACCCTGGTGTGCCAGTTCCATCTCACCTGGTCACTCCTCCCCCTCACTTTTTAAGAGGTGAATCTTGCTTGATAGGTTTTCTCAAAGGACACAGGATGATCACGGAGGAAAGGCAGCAAAAGTATGCTGTGGCCTTCCTCGTACCCCACCCACCCCCACAACTGTTCATTCCTCCATTCTGAGGACAGGGAGGGCTGTCACTGAGCACCTCACCCACTTACCCTACAACCCTGGTCTCGGCTCTCAGGTGTCCTTTTGTTCCCAAAACGGAATTCCCCAAATTCAGGCTGTTTGCATGTGGCGTCAGTCAGCGCACACACAATTCCTCGGGGAAGGGCTGGAGAATGAGAAAGGGGACACGTGGCCCTGTAACAGCTGCCTGACACAAGGGTACGTCTCCGCGTGCAAGCATGGACTTGCACTCTTGGACGGAACCCTCATGAGCAGTAACGCTGGCAGAGCAGACGGTATGTGTTTAGCTTTCTTAGTTACTTTTACAAATGACTTGGTTTGGGTTACTGTCCGCACATCTCAAACTCATTGTCATTTAAAGGGCGCTGACTCCTAGTACAGGGCAGAGTAGAAACTGTCCTGTGAGTTCCCGAGACTGCGACTCATTCGTTCGGGAGTAGATAACCTCGTCTTCCCCCGGAGGCGCACCTGGTGGTTTCTAACTGCTGGCCATGGGGCTGGCAGCCCAACCCTTAACCACTATGCCACATCCGAGCACTTAACTCTTGATGCTGTCAGGTGTTGCAAAGAAAGAAAAGGAGGGATTTTCTCAAAAGCCCTTTAATTGGCTGAATGAGCTCACCGAGTACTTAACAAATTGAAGTGGCCTGACACTTTAGAAAATAATTGTTTGAGCTGGGGCCGCAGGGTCACGAACCAAAGGCTGGGGCACAGAGCCTCTCTCCTGGCGCCCCCAGCCCTGTGGGGCAGGAGCGGCCTACACCAGGCCTTCTGGAGCAGGGCTGTGGAGCTCGGGCGACCATGTCCATTTCTGCAGGCCTGGGACGACAGGAATAGCTGCCCATGGGCGTGGGCCCTCCCTCCCAGATGGTACTGACTACAGAAGCCAGGTCTCCTGGGTGGGCCCCAGCACACGCACTGAGCTCCTACTTCAGTGCTGCTGGACCATGCGACATAAGCAGGGCAGTGGCCACCAGATGGGGTCAGGCTGCCCTCCTCTCGCCCCACGCCTGGTGCCCCAGCGCTGCCCTTGCCTGGCTGTCTTCTTTGTGCGGTCACCAGTCAGGGGCAGATGATCCCAATGTCCGTCTGAAGGTGGTCCTTGACGTGGGCGGGGGTGTGTGGCCTGGAGCACCCCTCTGCAGAGGAGCTGGGTGGGGGGAGGGTGGGCAAGAAAAGGCACGCGAGCCAGGACACGTTTGAGAAAGGAGTGCGCGGCGGGGCCACGCAGAGAACGAAAGTCTTGGCAGAGACAAGGAGGGACGTGAGGAGGCAGTCCCGTCCCGGAGTGAAGGGCTGCATGGAGGATGACGGACTGAGGGTGCTGGTGCTGATGGGGCACGTGGGCTGAGGATCGTGGGGCAGGTACGGAACTGGGGGGGCTCATAGCGGAGGGGTCCAGGTCACAGGCAGAGCTCTCTCCGAGGCGCAGCGTGGCCTTCAGGTGGGTCACCAGGAGCTGAAGTCCCCGAAGCCCTGACTGGGCCTCTTCTTGGCTGTGGGGGTGACTGTGCTGGTGGACGGCTCGTCCTGGGCTGCCCGCTTCCTGTGAGGACCAGACTCCACTGCTGTGCCCACTCCCCGGCTCCCTTGGAGGCAGTGGGTACTGTGTGTGTCCGTGCGCCCCCACCAGCCCCCAGCCTCACTCACGTGGCTGCTGGACTGATGTACTTGCCCACCCCCTGGCGGTAGGTCTGGGCTCCTGGGGCCCCTTGCTGGGGCTGGCTGCTTTTTGCAACGGGCTCCTCTGGCCCCTCTTTCAGCTGGGTCTTCTTCCGCTCCTCTGCTATCTGTGGGGAGGAGGGTGGGCCAGGTACCAGGGCAGGCGGGGCGGGGAGCCCAGCCCAGCCCCCGTGAGGAAGCCTAGGCCCATTCCACCCCCAGCACGGGGTAGCTCCGCCCCCTCACCTGAGTGTCGGCCTCCTCATAGGGGTCCACGAACACCACGCTGGACTCAATGCGGATCTCCTCCTGGGGACAGCAGGCAGGGGCTCGGGCCTGGCCCAAGGCCGCAGCCAGGTGCTAACAGGAGGGCATGCCCGCTCCCCTCCCCCCAACCAGGCACATACCTTGGGACGGTCAGTTTTGGGGTCACTTTCCACGTTCTCCATGGCAGTCAGGGTGTCGAAGCCCCCGACAACCCTGCAGGAGAAGCCAAATCAGAACCATGTGCCCACAGGTAGAGACTTCAGTCTGTGTGCCCACTTTTACTTGGACGAAGCCCAAGTACAGTGTGGCCTGGCCATTGGCAGGCGGCAGGGGCAGAGAGGGGTGGCTATGACAAGAGCCTGCGTGCCCAGTGATGGGAGGCTGGCCACCAGCAACCACCTGCCAAACAGGGCTGGGGGCTGAGTTTTGAGGCCAGTCAGCCTCCGCCCAGCAGGAGCTCCCAGGGGACGGGGCCCCACGAGCTCGTGGCCCTCACAGCCGCTCTTACCGCCCGAAAATGGTGTGCTTCTTGTCCAGGTAGGCGCAGGAGCGGAAGGTGATGAAGCTAAGGAAGAGGAGGAGAGACGGTGAGCTCTCTGTCTAGCAGGTCTGGTCCTCCCACAGCCCACAGCCCATTTGCGAGCCCCAGGCTGCCAGGGCGCTGGGCCCCTACCCAGGACAGGGGACTGGGGATGGACCCCAGGCCCTGGTGCACTAAGAGAAAGCCCAGAACAGCCCTGAAGGAAGTCATCCAGGGCTCTGGGTGCCCAAGCCTCTGGGCCCAACTCTGACAACGAGAAAGGATCTTGACAGGGAAATCCTCCCAAGACTGACTAATCATCGTGAGGCTCAAGAGCTGCCGTGGCCAGAGAGGCGACTCAGCCTCGGGCCACTCAGTTCCCACGTGGAGTCAGCTTCACGATGACTGAAACCACGGTCAGGCCACAGGGAGATGCCGGCCATGGGTCACTACATGCAAGTGCACAGCCACAAACTACAGCTGGGAACCAGTACATGCTGAGCCCAGCTCCTGCCGAGAAAGAGGAGCCGGTGCCCCAATCCCACAGATTGAAGAGGAAAGAGCCCAAATTCCTACAGCCAAGCAGACACAGCCCCTGCAAGCCCAGCACCCTCCCAAATAATCATACGACGAAGGGAAATGTTATCAGAGCTAACATTATGAACACCCAATTGATAGAAGGCTATATATTCAAGAAGTCAAAAAAAAATTCAAAAGGCTACAGAGGACAAAGCCCATCTGCAGAGTAACTAGTTAGATGAAGCCGCTGGCCAGCCCCCACCAGCCACAGGAGTCTCGAACAGCTTTACTAACAGTCAGAGATCACTGTAATTTGGATTATGCTGGATGGAAATCGATACTTGGTCAGCTGACCTCCCTGTTGACCCAACCTGAATTAGTTCTCGGTGCAAGAATCTCTTGTGTGTACTTCTTCCCTGGCTTTGTAAATATTGAGGATGGTCTCTTTTTGCACATTATTATTTTATCCTTACCACTTTATTTCGATTGTTTTTTATTGTTTCTATTGGGTTTCCCAGTTTGTGAAGCACAGGAGGAGTGGAGGCACAGAGAGAGTAACTGATGGAGAGGTTTATAGGGAATGTAGGGGTGGGGGGTGGGATGTAGATAGGGGGAAGGGAATTTCAGGGTAGACAATGAAGGGGGAGGGATCAGAACTGATTGTGATTACACAACTCATTTTAAAGGTGATTTAACCATGGGGGGCAAAATGTTCTAAAACTGATTTTGGTCATGACTGTACAATTCTTCTCGATGTGTTTGAACGATTGAATTGTATGCTATCTGGATTCAATGCCAATAAAAACGTAAAACAAAATAAAACAAAAAAAAACAATCAGACCCAACCAGTGCTTCCTTAAAGGGCTGCAGGGAGCCAACCTGGTCAGGGACCCTGTGTGGGGCCGGACTCGTGCACTGGCCAGAAAACTGAGGAATTTGGATGAAAGCTATTGGTCTTGTGAGAGACGTCGATGGCTGGCTAGCTGCCACGAGCAATCACCACCTGGACCTGGATAAAATGCCACAGGAGCAACTTTATCCAGGAGACCGGCTCCATGTGCAGAGGCTACGTGATAGGCAGCGGGCCACAAGGCCAGCAGTTTGAAACCATAGGCTGCTCCTTGGGAGAAGACAGGGCTTTCTACTCCGGTAGGGTGACTGTCTTGGAAACTCATGGGGGCAGCTCTGCCCTGTCCTGCAGGGTTGCCGTGACTCAATGACAGTGACCCTGGCTCCCTAGAAACCGCCCCTCGAGACAGGTGGCCACAAGGGGTACAGAAGGACGCTCCCAGCTCACCTCAGGCTGGGTCCTAATGGGTCAGGACATGCAGCTGTGTGGGAAGGGGGTGGTGTCCCTCACCTGTGTCTGACTGGACTACAGAGAAGACTTCTGATCCCACCCTCTGAGTACCTCGAGCGAGTCAAGGGCAGGCCCAGATTCAACGAGGAAAGACGGGCCAGTCTGTAAGGGAAGTGCGCAAACCGGGCTACCCATCTCCAAGAAAATAATAATAATTTATAAATTATCAAGGATTCATGGGGGGGAGCGGGGAGGGAGAAGGAACATGTGGAGCTGATGCTAGGGGCTCAAGTAGAAAGCAAATGTTTTGAGAATGATGATGGCAACAAATGTACCAATGTGCTCGACACATGGATGGATGTGTGGATTGTGCTAAGAGCTGTACACGCCCCCAATAAAATGATTTTTAAAAAGAAAAAGAAAGGCTCCCTTAGTGCACATGTAAATGCTATGCATAAGGATTTTTCAAGGAGTAATTTAAAAAATGATGCATGTATGCAATACAGAAATATTTTGGGAGAAAGGATCTTACAAGTAGCTAAAAATGCAAATTATTAGATACATTTTAGTTTTTATATTTACTAAGTTATACTACAATTTCACCATATAATACTGAAAACACAGCACATGTAAGGGGGCTTCGAAAAGTTCATGAAAAAAATTCCACTCTCTTTTCATTCCATTTTCCGTGAACTTTCCAAAGCCCCCTTGTCATTACTGATTAAATTGTAGCATTTGGAACCTGGCTAAAAAGAAATCTATGAAGTCTCACAAAAACAAAACACAAGAGAACAAGTGGAAAGGAAAGAGTTTTAAAAATCCTGAGGCGGTGAGCTTTCTTGTACCTGCTGTGTACCCGGCCACGTGTACTGAACCTCCTGACAGGTAGCCACAGCTCGGAGAACGCCGGTTCCCCTTTGAGTACCCATCTTTCCCCGGGAAACCCTTGTCCGCCAAGAATCCACTCGAGTCTTCTTCCCTTCCTGGCAGCCCACCCCCTGCACACACCCCTCCCATCGTGGGCAGCTCCGTGTGGCCTCTGCCCCTTTCACACTACCATCTCTGCCACCTTCTGCCAGCAGTGCCCTGTAACCTCCCTGGCAGTCACTGCCCGTCTCCTGTGGAGCCTCAGTGGTGCAGGGTTAAGGGCGGGGCTGCCAGCTGAGAGGTCAGTGGTTAGAAGGCACTGGCTGGGACGAAGAGGAGGCCCGCTGGCCCTATAGAGACGACAGCCTCGGAAGGCCGGGGGGCACGGTGGAAGGGGCGGGGGCTGGGTGGTGGAATGGGTAAGGCTTTGAACAGCCTGTGCTCATCTGCCGACCCAGAGGTGGGAAGCCCCAACACACCTAGGAAGAAAGGCCTGGTAATCAACTCCTGGACCATCACCACGCAAGCTTCGGGGAGCACAGGCCTACTCTGACTGGGAAGGCCGCATGGCCACCACGCAGGGCCACTCTCGTGAGCGGGTCTCACAGCATGTGGTACCACCAGGGGCATCTCTGTGGGTGTGCTCCTGAGTGCCACTGCCCCTAGGCAGAGCTCCAAGGCTGTAGGCCTTGAGGAGGCCCCTGCCCGGCCCGGCCCACTGCCCGGAAGCCGGCACCACACTCACAACTGAGACTTGTTGCTGTTGGGCCCCGAGTTGGCCATGCTGAGGACGCCCCGCCCCGTGTGCGACAGGTTGGGCCGGAACTCGTCTCTGAACGGCTTTCCCCAGAACGACTCTCCACCTGCAGAGGAAGGGGCGGTGACGGCAGGTGTTGCAGAGCACGGAGCGGGGCCCCTGGGAAGGCTGTCTCAGGCAGCCCCGCCACAGGCCCCCTGGGTCTGGCCCTCCACTGCCCACGACAGCTGGTCGCCCTCAACACACCCCTTCCACCATGGGCTTGTCTGCCTCCGTGTCTGTCTAGAGTGTGTCCACTGTTGAGCCTTTCTAGGGCACCTTCCGTGGGGTACCTCCCGTCCGGGCTGATAGCCGCAGCAGCCTCGCGGAGGGCTCGGGTGCAGCCACACACGTGACCTTCCTGGTAGACTGGTTCCCTAGAATTCACAGCTGACACCTATCCCCAGGGAACTTGAGGGGGAGGACAGGCCCCCCGTGGAGCACAGACATACAGGGCCCAGCCCAGCTCCAGACCCTGCACTCCATCCCAGAGGACACCAGGGCAGGTGGGCCCAGTGCACTGTCACCTCCCAGGCCCTGCCAGGACCCTGCTGCCTCCTCACTAGGGAACACCTTGAGGGGGGTGCTGAGAGGGCCACAGGCTTAAGGTCCCAGCCACGGGTCCCTAGCTCACACAGGGCCCAAGCAGCTGACAGGCTAAGGTGGGCTGGGGAAAGCAGTGGGGGGCAGTGGGGCCTGGTTCCTAGGTCTAGCCACCCTGGTCGGTTCTCTCAAGGCCCCTGCTGGGGGGCACTGTGTCCTGGGCAGTGGTGGTCACCCCACAGGAGTGGCCTTTTAAGTTAGTCCCACAGCCTGGGGCCCTGGCTCTCCCGGGCCCTCAGACTCCTCTGTCATTGGGAACACACTGACCCCCCCACAGCTGGTGGCCAGCTTAGATGGCGGCCGGGCTGGACACTGGGCTGCCTCAGGCATTCCTGGCCCCCGGCCCGTGGAGGTGCCACGGGGGTGAGAGAGAACTGCCCCTGCTCAAGAACTGAGGCTGGAGGAGCTGGACGGGACAGACGAATGGTCCCGCCGTCCTCCCCCCAGCGACCTGAGCCATAAGCCAAGCTCTGTACTACATACTCCCGCCTGCCCACGTGCCCCAGAGCGACCAGCCTCTTCCAGGAGCCAGGGCGACGCACGACGTACCCGTGCCAGTGCCGGTGGGGTCACCTCCTTGGATCTGCAGGAGCAACAAACACCCGTGAGCAAACCCCACCCACCTATGCCGAGCCGCCTGCTGCTCAGGACTGCCCACCACCAGTCCTGCCCCCTTCCACTGACCAGGCCCCATCCCTCAGGGGTGCCCACTGTTGGTCCCTCGCCCCTGAGGGCATCTGCACGTACGCCAGCTCCTGGTCTGACCCAGCCAGAGCACCACCGGGCCCACACGGCCAAGGGGTTCCTGGTGAAGGCGCCTCCCAGCGGGCGGCACAGCTCCAGGCCTGGCCTGAGGGCCCTGGGAGGGGCAGTGAAGAGCAAGCCAGGGCCCTCTCTCCCCTGCACACTGCCCAGCCCTGCAGAGCGCTCTGCTCACCACGAAGTTGCGGATGGACCGGTGGAAGATGGTGCCGTCGTAGTAGTTCTTCTTGCAGAGCCTGATGAAGTTCTCACAGGTTTTGGGCGTCTGCAAGACAGCCCCGGGGGGTGGGGTGGGGGCGGTGAGTTGGGGGGTGGTGGCTGAGGGATACACATTGGGGTGTCCACCTGCCCAGAAAGGGCCGTGAGACAAGCCCGGACTTCTAGCTGGGGGGCCGGGGAAAGGCCAGCCTGCTGCCCTGGGGCAGGCAGGTGGAACGTCCCACAAGCACACAGCTCAGCCCCATCTGGCCCCAAAGCCGCCCCTCACCAGGTCGCAGTGCAGCTCCAGGTTGAGGCAGCCCTTGTTGGTGTGCAGGCGCACGTAGCCCTTCTTCTTCACGAACCGGTATCGCAGCACGTCTTCATCGATGGCAGCTGCAAACGGAGGGGTTGAGCGGCCGGCCCCGCCCCCAGCCAGGACTCCAGCCTCTGATGCACATGCTCAGGGCCAGCTGGTATCCAGCCTGTGAGGGGGCTTGGCTTGGGTAGAGCAGGGGTGGGCACCCTGCACAGGTTCCCAGGGGGCAGTGTGAGGCATGCCTGGGGCCACAGGGGCATGGAGGGACAGCTAAAAGGGGGCTTTAAGCACTTAAGGGGACTTGAGTGGGGGCCAGGAGCAGCCTTGGTGCTGGGCGGCTACCGTGAGCAGGTCACACGCAAGTAAGGCAGGTGTCCCGCAGCTACAGGACAGGTAGAGCGTCTCCTGGGCATGTTCAAAGGAGGCCTGGCCCCCCAGCCCCTTGGGGTGCCAGTCAGCAGGACAACCAGTGACAAGGAGGGAGGGGGTGCTTGGCCTCTGTCCCCATGTCCCACCCACAGCCCAGCCCAGCCGGAGGCACTACCTGCTTCTTGCGTTGTCTCAGGAGCCATGGCGGTGGACGTGAAGGAGGCACTGACCTTCCCGGTAGAGTAGTGGGCCTGCCAGAAAGGCCCAGCCCGTCAGCCTCCAGAGCCGGCTCACCAGAGGGCCCCCACCTCCCTGGGGCAGGGTCCCCCAGCTCACGGCGTTCAGTTGGTCCACTTTCTTCTTCTCGGGGGCCTTCATGGTGGCGGCCAGCACCTCATCGCCCTTGAACTCCTTGTAGAGCTCCTGCAGGGTCTCGCGGGTCTCCGTGTTGGTGTTCTTCAGGTAGTAAGACGGGTCTTGCCTGGCCTTTTCCTCATCTGGAAACCAGCGCAGTTGGCCCCGGGCCCTGATGCAACCCCAGAGCCTCTCCCAGGCGCGTGAGTGGGGACGGGGACAGGAGCCCCCCGCCCCTGTGTGCGGGTGGGCAGGTGGGCGGGCGGGGGCTGGGAATGCCGCCGGGTCTCTGGGTTTGCGTGTGCTGCGCTCGCCCTTGCACAGGAGGCTTCCCTTGGTTATCATTCAAGGCGGGCCCGGGTGGTCTTTCTGCCGTGGTCCGTGCCCACTGCACAGGGCTGCCTGCCTGCCTTGGGCGGAGGGCATCACTTCATGCCCACCTGCTAGGACCCTGCCTCCCCCCCTGCCTCCCCTCCTCCGACAGGCTCACTCCCCTTCCCCCCTGGAGGTGTCCCCCCAGACACTCACCCCCACACTGCCCCCCCCCACCACACTCATTGCTGTGGCCGCTCAGAAGGGCTGCTGGACAGGCCCGGCCTCCCTGGGTTCCAGGGGCCTGCTAGGGCAGCGGGCCGTCTCGGCACAGGAAGCTGCACCGCACTCGGGGAAGCCACAGGTGGCCTAGCTCAACTCCGCACATACCTGGGTCCGTCACCTTCATGTTATTCTTCACGTGAAAGAAGTTGGAGACATTGAACTTGTCCAGATTGGTGGGATCCTGCAGTGCGGGGCAGGGTGGGGGAGGCAGCAGGGTTACCTTATGCCAGGTCCAAAAGTTTGTCTGGAGCTGAGTGCAGGGCAAAGGGCACCTCAG